CAAACACTTAAAACTTTATAATATGTTCTTTAAAATTTATTTTATTAAATAATTTAACTTCAACTCATCAAAGTAACATGCCCATTTGCACAATTTTTAACTTAACAAACATGTGAATATTAATCTTTACAAAGTATTGGCCATTATCTAGATAAGATTAAACTGGCTGTCAATGATTCCTATCTGTCAAGGGTCCACGTGGAAAAGTACACGTCTTTGTGCGTTTGGCTAGGAGACAACTCTCTGGGAGGACCTCCCTGGTCGGGTCTTACGCAAAGCCAAACACAGAAATTTCCTGCCCAGCCCTGGGTCTCACCCTCGTTCTCATCCAGAATCAAGTCATCCTTTTTGGCCGTCCGATTCGTCAACGCTGCACTCTGATTGGTCAACCCAGGTGAGCAATTAGCTTGCTTCAATGGGCAGCTATTTTCAACGCAACAGCTTGTCATCCCACTTGCCCAACTTGGATGTTTAGTTCGATGTATTGATTGATAAACATCAAGATTTCTTTTGTCAAAGTGAAGCGTGTAGGCCACAAGCTTCCTTTTCTTTTTAACTTTCTTTCACCTTCTAATTGGGCTTACTTTGATTAAATTGCTAAAATAATCACATGTTGATCATCTTGACGAATTCAAGTAATTAATCAAATCATAACATACAATACAAGGGGGAAGACGTCTTGGCCACTGAACATTTTATAAGGTTAATCCTAATTAGTTTCTTAAACAATTGAACAACTTGTGTTTAGTGGATGATAAAACTCCTACTTCAATATAAACAAAAAAATTTTAGCAATAACGATAGTATTGATGATGACAGATATTATGATATTCTCACAGGGGTGTGGGAGAGACACCTACTTTACCAACATGGTTTTTTTTTTTTGGAAAAAAATATAAGAATAATTAAGAAACCAAGGGATTTTGATTGGTTTTAAATTCGTATATTGATTGGTTTTCGTATTGAAGCTAATCAATCCCACAATCAAGAATAAATTTTATGTATAAGTTTAAAAGATCTTACATTTCTTAGATTAACTTCTAAGTAAGGATAGGATTTCTCTCCATTTTCCATATAAAGATTTTTGAATTTCTTTTGTCTGCAAGGTTGGGATATTTATGTTCTTTGTTCTGCAGTGTGTTTTTTTTGTTATCTACTGATGCAAGTGTTTTAGAGGCTTTGCCTCCTCCTATGTAAAGCTTATTTTGATTTTAAATAAATTTCTAATGTTTTTTTTAAAAAAATACCTACAAGCAATAAACAGATGAACTTGTCATAATACTTTTATAATGTAGAAAAATCAAATATAAAAAAAACACCCAAAACGTTATAGTAATTAAAAATTCATATTAATCAATACCCGAACTTCAATAGTATATGAAAGATAGGTGCCCATCAGCAATTGCTAGCGAAAAGGAGTAGATAAATCCCAGCCAATTGGAGGCAGTCAGGTTGGTGCTCATCAGCAAGCAAGTTGATCAAAAAAAACCATGATATTCATAATGAAAAAAAAAACATGATATTCATAATTCATTTATCATCAAATCGTGGAAAGAGAGTGAGAAGAAAAAACATGGTTATCTTCAACCTTCAATTCAATCAAATGGCCAATACCCGAAGCATAACACTATTCCAACATCGTCTAGGGCTCTGCACCCCAAACTCGAAATCTTGTCTTTAGCCATACCCCTTTTCTGATTGCGGGTCCCTTTCTCCACTCCTTTCTATTTTATTTTTTTATATTTCTTGCATGTTTTAAAACTTTTCTTTTGTTTTGTCGTTTTGCTTTCATTTGTCTATTGTTCCTCATTTACGGCAGATTCCGGTGCATGAACCTCCTTTTTCACCTTCTTTCACCCTTTTCCTCATTATCTCCTGGAATTCGTGCTGGGGCCGCGGTAAATTGTGTGGGAAGTTTCCGATACAGTTGCATACTTTTCTCTTCCCAACTTATCCTTCCGTTTTCGTCAACTATTATATATTGCCTCTCTTTTTTATATACAAATAATTTTCCTTCAATATTTGCCAATTAGATTACTTCCTAATAATAAGAATAATAACATGTGAGGAGGATTGAGAAAACAAATCACTCATTAAGTTGCAGAATTTTGGAACGCTTAATTGAGGCCACTAATTGAAGAATCTAAAGTTGGTAGAGGAAAAGAAGATCACATGAGTTTTAATGAGGCTTAGGGAAATGGTCATGATTTGAACCAAAGTAACTTCACGTTAAAGTTGCTTTTTATTAGAATTACTAAAAGCTACATAAATAAATGTATTCTTACACAATTCTCCTAAATCTCTTACCTTTTTTTTCTCCCTAAATGATCACGAAATTCAATGATCATGAATATGATTATTCCTTGATCATAAACATACAATAATAATGAAAATGTACCATCAATTTTGCACATCTTTCTAATTGAAATTGATTAGCTATAAACTTGTGGGGAAAATATAAATTGATCTTATCGTAAGCGTTGATTTTGCAATTTTGTTGACGTTAATGGTAATTTTACTTATTTCGTATAAAAATTTTTAAAGAATAAATAAAAATAAAATTTTGAATGACTAAAAGTAAAAGCTTGGTCGGCCGCAACAGAGTTCGGGCCACGACGATGGTTTGTGTGGAACCTGAGCAGGAAGCATGAGCCAGGTGCAAAGTTTTCTTGTCACGAATAACCAACACGTGTTACGTGTTTTTCACCCACTTTGCAAACACTAAAATAGCTTGAGAAGAATTTTACAAAATAAAATCACAGTCAAGAAAACAGCTGACACCTGACATGTTTCGACCAATGATACGTGGGCTGTGCTAGAAGTCGCTGAAACTAGTTAGAAATAAAGCAGTGCGGGCCGTGGACTATCTGTGCAAAAACTCGTGAATTCAAAGAAAAATTAGGTGCAAATCAGCAAGAGATTAGTCTGGTCAAATCTGGTGAAACTAACTTATTTCTCCCACAGTAGGTAAAGAAAGCACTCACAAACGGATGTGAAATGGGTAGAAAGTAGGAACCCAGTTCATTTTTTTTATTGTTATTATTATCTCTCAAAAACCTTCTTAAATATCCAGTAATAACAGGAATTTGTATAGTTTTGACTTTGAATTTTTACCTGCCCTTAGAGAAAGGTGAGAAATCAACAAGGACAAGGCATGTTTTGCAACTCTCTCTTTGACCAGCAGATGAAGGTATATTCCTTCATGTGCTTTTGTGGACTGTTTGATTACTTCTTCTCTAACTCCGTTTAAAAAAATAAAATTAAACAACCTAATGACATTGAACCAAAAATATGTATTATAAAGTTTATTGAATGTCCTATGTTTGGAAAGTATCCCGTAGTTTGTTCACAATGTATTCTCCTACGTTAACATATTATAAAGTTGATCGAGGATTAATATTATCAATATTCGCAACCATAAATCTTAATAATTGGAACCCAAATCACGTATTTGCTAATTATTTAGGCACTTCCTTGATGAAAAACAGAGGTAACCACAGGTTTTGTTTTGTTGGCGTACAACAAATGGGTACAATAATTTTGTTTGTCATCATCCATTTCTTAAATTAATTAGCAACAGTAATTCGTGTGTAATGCACAAGAATAAGAATCCTTTATCAACAGAATTCTGCTTAAGTCCAAGATGTGGAGCCTGTTATCCTATCACTGGATTTTTCTTTTGATGGAATCTTATAATAATCAGAATTATGCGTCCAAAGAGAGGTGAAATATAAATCTTTACTATTGATTGATATTATGTAATGCTTAAGACTCTAAACATATGGCTGTTATTCCATCTTAAAGAAGGATAATCTTTGAGATCTAAATTTCCTCTCCCTTAAAGGACTTCTTCATATATTCAATGTGTTGCATGTGATTTAATACGTGAATTGCATTAATATTAACTCAAACATTATATTGGGAATTTAAAAATTATTATTTATAAAAAATTATGGAAAACAAAAAATGAAAAAAAACACATTCATATTAATTACATAGTGAAATCATTAAGTATGTAGTAAAAACTTCTTAGATTTTACTCTCTAAGAATGAGTAGAATAAAATAAATAGAATTGTAGATCACCTAGATAGTTAAAACTTTTATAACAATAATAATAAGTGAAAATTTATGTTTTTATTAATCAAAAGCTTTTCCATATCCATACTTTTATATATTTATATAAGATATAAATATTTTTAATAAACAAAAAAGTAAGTTTATTTATAATAAAATAGTAATAGTTGTTAAAAAGAAGCATAAAGCGTATATTTGTTGTTAAATTACTACTTTATTGTCTCCATAACTCCATTCCATTATTGCAAAGGATACATATCAATGTGATAATGTTCAACCAAAGAGAAGTTAGCTCAATGATTAAGATTAATCATTCATTCACTCTCAATAGTAATTACTATGAAGTTTGAATAATAATGATTTTTTGTTAACATTAATCTTAAGATTCATGCTTATTTAAGATATTTTTCCTTTGTGTTAATTTTGAATACACAAACCTTATAAATGTGACGTATTTTATAGTAGATAAGATAAACCTTGTTAAAATTAATCTCGTAGGTAAGAATCTTAGAGCATACAATACATTTTATTAGATTATAAGAAATTAAGTAATTTATTTATCTTTATAATATTTGTTTCATTAATCTAAAATATTGAAGGATACTCTTCATTAATATTAATATCTAATATACGAATCGTATAAGATACGAAATATTTTGTTAAAATAGGATAATCTCTTATTATGGTTAATTTCAAAAGTAAAAATCTTATGAGATACCATATATCTTATTTGGATACGAGAGATTAACTTTCCTATTTAGGCTAATAGTATTCTGTATTTCTTTTACCAAAGTAGGACATTGTCAATTAGAAGGGGCTTACAGTCTCCATAATCGTAATTCCCCATCAACAACAAGGGCATCATAGTAAAACAAATTGATTCCATAATTTCTTCCGCAAGAAATATAAAATGGCCACCAACCCTCCCTAAACCCCATAGGAAACAACTCTTTCATTTCACCCAACAACCGATACCCAGACGAAAAAAAAAAAGAGCTATCTAGTTTTTCATTGTTCTCACTTTAACCACAAATCTCTGAAGATCTTTTCACTGAAGTCCCTTACTCTGATAAAGTCATCATGTGTGGAGGTGCGATTATCTCCGATTTCATTCCCCCGACGCGGACGCGACGCCTGACGGCTGATTACTTGTGGCCTGATCTGAAAAATTCCGGGTCCAAAAAGAGGTCGGGTAAAAGGTACTCGAAGCCGGTGATCGATTTGGATGATGACTTCGAGGCTGACTTTCAGGAGTTTAAGGATGAGGAAACCGATGTCGATGACTTCGATGATGTTGATGATGTTTTGGCTGACGTTAAGCCCTTTGCTTTCTCTGCTACAAAGAAACTAGCTTCTGCTGCCTCTCGTGGTAATAATAGTGATAACGATTTCCTCTCTTTTTCCCTTTTTCCCTTTTTTTTTTAATTTGAGTTTTGAGTTTCTTGTTGATCGTTTTGTAAAAGTGGGTCCTTTCTTGATGTTGAATTTTCTTTCCTGTTCCTTTTTTGATAAAATGAATATGTAATTTTTTTTGTCAAAGTTAGTCTTTTTTGCGTTTACTGTAAAGTTTCCATTTTTCATTTACTCATTTTTGGAGGAATTTCTTAAAGGTTGAATTGGTTAGATCATTGGCTAAGTTTGTATGGCACGAGTTATGGATTTTGTATATATCAAATTTTCCTTGCTTATCTGGCTATTTGATCGAAGTAGGCCTTATGAATACAATAATTAGCAGTTTTAATTAAAATTTATGGATTTTACTAAAAGCTCATTTTTTTTAAAAAAAAATTTGTACATTATTTTTTTTTTCGGTTGTTGGTAGATTTTGTCTCTGGCTATGTATATAAGCTTTTCTTTTTTATTTCCCTTTTTTCTGCTTTATATGTTTTAGAAAGTAAATTATTTTCCCTTTGCCGTTTAAGATTTGCTTGTAAGCTAGAGATGGTAGCGAAAAAAAAAAAACTAGAGAAGTTAGATCATAACGTCTTAGCAATTTAAAGCTTCTTCAACTTGAATAAATAAAGATCTGTAATAATGGTAAACTTTTCTACAAGAACACATCAGCTGATTTTGTAGTTTGTCTCCTTTAGATTAGGGGTTTTTCCCTTATAAATTTTGGATATTTGGGTTTTGTGGATCTTGTTCCTCTGTATTGTTTATGTTAGGTCGTTTTTGATCCGTTCATGAGAGTTAAAGAGGGAATTTTAACCATTAGTTTTTTTTTTGTTTTTTTAAATATCATTATAAAAGAGTATTTTGTTGATTTTTCTGTTCCTTTTCTACAAACTTGTTAGAATTAACTTAAAATACATTTTAAAAAAAAAGGAACTTAAAGTACGATTTTTTCTTCTTACTTCAGTCTGTATGACCAATCTATTTGGTTTCTTATGTTTCTACTCCCTTTTGTCTATTGGTGCTTGAAATCTTAATATGCTTGACGAGCATGTTTCTTATGTCCAAAAGGAGAAATCAAAGTTCTTTATTTTTCAATTAATACCTCAAGGAATAATTTTCTGGATAATATTTTCCAAATATGTTTTCCTCACGATTTTTTTTCACTCAAAGTTTGTTGCTGTTGCTGGGTGAAAGATATGTAATTATTTATAGTTTTTTTTTGTCTACTATAACAATTTTATATGGTTCATGCATCTGTATCACTGTATCATATTAATATTTTTATTTTCAGTTATTGAAGGTTCGAACTTTGTAAAATCTGCGGAATTCAGTGGTCAAGCTGAGAAATCTGCAAAAAGAAAGAGGAAGAACCAGTACCGTGGAATTCGACAGCGTCCATGGGGTAAATGGGCTGCTGAGATCCGAGACCCAAGGAAAGGGGTTAGGGTCTGGCTAGGAACTTTCAATACTGCTGAAGAAGCTGCGAGAGCTTATGATGCTGAGGCCCGAAGAATTCGCGGTAAGAAAGCAAAGGTGAACTTCCCTGATGAGGCTGCGCGTACTTCTCCAAAGCGTGCAGTTAAGGCAAATTCTCAGAAATCACTTTCCAGGTCAAATTTGAGCCCTGTTCAGCCAAATCTCAACCAGAATTTCAATTACTTGAGCAAACCAGAGCAGGACTACTTTGATACCATGGGTTTTGTCGAAGAGAAGCCATCAATGGATCAGTTTGCATATGTGGACCCTCTTCCTGTGTCTGAAGATGTTGGATTGAAACCCTTCGCTCAATCTGACAATGCCCCCTTGTATTTTAATTCAGACCAGGGAAGTAACTCCTTTGATTGCTCTGACTTTGGCTGGGGGGAACAGGGTGCCAAGACTCCTGAAATATCATCTATTCTTGAAGCTTCTATAGAGAGTGATGAGTTTGTGGAGGATGCAAACCCTAAGAAGAAGCTGAAACCAAGTTCTGACAATGTTACGCCTACTGAAGACAATTCTGCAAAAAGTTTGTCTGATGAGCTATTGGCTTTGGACAATCAGATGAAGTACTTTCAAATGCCATTTATTGAGGGGAACTGGGATGCCTCAATTGACGCCTTCCTCAATGGAGATGCGACACAGGATGGTGGAAACCCAATGGATCTTTGGAGCTTTGATGACTTCCCTTCCATGGCTGAGGGTGTTTTCTGAGCAAACTTCCGCTACTTACTAGTTTTTGTAAATAAGGCAACATGTTAGTGAGTTTCACCCGTCTGGCAGCTGCTTTATTATTTCAATTGTGTTATCTCTAACATTATTCCTTTTTTTGGATGTATGCTCGAATGTTCACTTATTTATATTTTGCTTTTTTTTTTCTTGTTTATTGCTCTCAGGAATTGGTCAATCTGTTGTGAAGTTGGAGTAAAACAGCTATACATGCTTATGCCTTGTCCGAATGTTTACAGAGGCTTTTAGTATGTTCCCTTTTGTCTATTAGACATTGAACTGCAGTGTTTAAATTTGAGTAACTGTATCTGTGATCATGTGTGATTTGTGATGAAATACTGAAAGCAGATGAATGTTTAACCATGCCATTTGTTTCTCCCATACTCCCTTTCAGGTTTTCTTGACAGGAGCCCACAATTTGATTTGATTTTTTAATAATATACCAACTTTTTTCCAAGGGGAGGCCACTGCTTAATTATGATATTTGCAATACATTGCTTCTAGTCTTTAGCGGTTAAGTGGCCATCCTTTATTCCTAGACATCTCAGCCAGCTGCTTCCTTTCGCCGTGGGAGTCTTGCTGCATTAAGTTTTACCCGAGTTTGTATCATTAACAAGCCACTGAGCATTATTGCTTTTGTGCTTCCCGGCTAGCATCATTTTCTGCCTTTTTACTGAAGTGGGTCGGTGCAATACATTTTATGTGAGATTGTTACCAAAAGCTTGTGCATTCGGTTGCTGACTTGTAATTGACGAGGCCCTTCTTACCATGTGATTTTCCTGTCGTCATTTGCCGCGTATACTTGGGAATTGACGATGGCCTCAGGGAAATTAAAAAACCACTAATAGGGAACGTTCGGTCGCAGTGGCCACGTGAAGGCATATGCCTCACAGTGATATGAGCAGGCATGGGAAAAATCTCCTCCAATCTTCTGCTCCCCTCGCATGTGAGGAGCATGGCAAAGTTATCGTGTACATGGACCGTGTCGATAGGTCACTTTACGCCCTTTTAATAATGGGATTTGTTTGCTAGCTGAAGGTCAAGGGATTCGTGTTGGGTTCCATCATTTAGGCCATGGTGGGGTCAGCTTTGCAGGTGCTGTGGGCCCCAGTATGCATAGGTTTTTGGGGGGGTGGCAACCCCTAGGAAGATGATCCCACCCCCCTCCTGCGTTGCAGGAATAACTTTGTGAAGAGAATGGTGAAAGAAAGGACATGAAAATAGCTTGAAGGATCTCGTGATTGTCCACAACATTGGCTGCAAAAGCAACCCAGCAGCACCATCACCACCACCACCACCACCACCACCACTGGGAGCCTTGCCTTATAAGTGACCCTAACCAAAAACCAATAATCACGCATATCTCTGGGCAAGGTTCTAGGGCCGAGGTAAATATCTGTTATGTCATTTGTGCTCGCAAAGATTCTCCAAATATTCGGATTGCTTAATGGATCTTCTCCTGCCTGGATGTTGTGAAGTACCCGCACCAGGGATAACGTGATCCGATGCCTATTGCTCTGCTCCTTTGCAGTAGAAAGCAAAAGGGGTTAATCAAAGATTAGATCTTAACCACATCAATAGGCAAAATAGGCTCTGGCCAGTGCTTATTCCAATCAAGAGGACTGTCCATTTCTTTATAAATCTTAAAGAAGCGGAATGATGGGCAATGTGGCGCCATTTTGAGTGAGTACTAGTCATCCAAGTTACCAGCCCAATTTATAAAATGCATGCGAGTAGAAAATTAAATGAATATGTTGAACTTCCAAAAAGTTATCTCTGGCTTCAGCAATTGAGGCTGCACTGCAGTGGGAATTTATTCTCATTTTTTGAATCTAATTACTGAGTTCAATGAAAGAAACTTCAACAAAAGGATACCTAAAATTAATCTATGGTCTTGACTTTTTTCTTTCTATTCAATCTACCCTGAATTCTATTCGAGGCTTCGGAGCACCGTTAAGAAAGGAATAAGGGAATTCTACAGTTAAAGGAAAACATCAAATTCCTTCTTAATCTAGAAGTAGCAACAATAAAGTAAGGATTAAATAACCACTGGAAGTGTTTGATTAGTTTGGCTGAGTCCCAAGATGAAGGTTCATCATGAATGCTCCAATGCCCGATTCGGCTTGTTTATGTTTCCAGCAACAATCTAAGCAAAAGCGTTTTCTCAGGAGATGCTGTTTCTTTCTGTCTGTTTATCTTCTTGTCATAGTTACCACGGTAGGGGTGGGTGGATTGACTGTTGTATTCGTTTTGAAGCCTCAAAAGCCGGTATTTTCTATTCAAACCATAAGATTAGATGCTTACAAATTGAATGTTTACTCCAATTCAACCCTGTTTGTTTCGTCTGTTGCATCTTTGATCTTAAATGCTAGCAATCCTAACAAAATTGGCCTAAGCTACAGCCCTTCGAGGTTTCAACTTTATTTGGAAGGACTTCCAATAGCAGTTATTCGAGTTCCCAGGTTCTATCAACCTGCTCATAGTAACAATGTAAGTTTGAGAACAAGGGTTTTGGTTCCTTGTGTGAATGTTAGCCAGGTTATGGGTGGAGGTTGGTTGCAAGATCAGCAGGGGCAGAACATTGTTCCAATGAAACTATTAGGCGATATTAAAGTAAACCTCCATATTCTACACTTAACCCTGCCAAAAATCAAGGTTTGTATGTGTACTCTTTCTTCCCTTTCACCTTGATAAAGATTTACATTCTGAATTGCTTGCTTCTCAAAGCTTTCAAGTTCAAAGCATCAAAATGACATAAACCTCAATTTGTGAATCAATTTTTTTTTCCATGAAGGGATTCATAACAGATTATTTAGGTTTTCCAATAATTAGTGCTTGCCTTATTTCAATTGTCAGACGCATATAGTTATATTATTTTTGACTATTGAAAAGAAAAGCATAGTTCTTTTGGAATTTGGAAGTTGATATATTACAGCTCCCAAAAAATCATGAGAGCGTAAACAGATGACTTTAGGCCTTTGAGAGATTGCGGATGCCTTACTTCAAGCCCATAAACCTTTGACATAATGGTCATGAATCTGTTTCTTAAGCTTAATACATTCATTTTATACCCAAGTAACTTTCCCAAGTCCCAAAATGTCATACCTTCTTTTTTATACTTCGTAATTCTTATGTCTTGCAGGTTGCCCTGGATTGTGACATAAGTTTCGAGTATAGCCAATTGGCATTCCTAAATGAAGCTTACAGCAACAAAGCAGCTAAAAATCCCTTTGTAAGTGTCATTTCACATCTCAAAAATTGCCCCCCCTTAATATCCCTTGAGTAGTAATCATCATGCATGCTTATATACATAAATATGTCTTCTTTGATTCATTTGTAAATTACTTGACTTTGCTGCAGGCATCTTTTTCAAATGATTCCAAATCCTTCCTGAAGCAATGTGCATTGGCTATCTACATCTAAAAAAACCGGAGATTTTCTTGATAGGAAAGTTTGGTTTTTCTGAAGCTGGAAGATTCTTGTTGATGTGATTTGCTAATGGCTACATAGCCTGACGGTCTCTTCTTCCTTAAGGAAGATTAGGATCCTTGCTAATGGCTTATATAGGCAATTCTGTCACCTGCCCCTCCAAAATCAAGACATGGAGGCATTCGATTCTCAATCTTATCAAAAAAGAAATCATAGGATTCAATTCATCTTACAGTTTTTACATCAATAGCATGATATGATTATCAGCTAGCCATGATGTCTTTTCATTATAATTTCCAATATTTTTTTTTGAAAAAAAAATCCAGCAGCGAACCATGGTTAAATTACTAGTTACTATGTATTTCAAAGATCATGTATGACTAAGGTCTGATCCACCAGTTTTACTGACAAATCCGGCAAGAAATTCACAATCAGCAACCTGCATCATAACTGAAAAAATAACATGTTCCACCAGTTACAGTTATGGAGAGTAGAGTTATTACAGATAATTGCCACTGGTCAGCAAATATATATATCCAGCATTAAAATCCCCCAAAACACAGCTTCCCATGTTTGGCAACTCGTCTCTACTCCAGCTGGCTTCTTTGTGGAGTCGCCCAACGTCATTCATTCCAACAGGAACTAGAGTCTCAACTGATCTTCCACAGTTTGCTAAGAGGCCATTATCTATCTTAATTTCCAATATTGACAATTATGCTAACATATAGATCCAGAAATTAATCGAAACAATGAAAGAAAAAATCAAAATAGTATTATTGTATTCTCTTTCTGTTTGCCGTTTGTCATCAGCTTATTTATCTTTCACAAGTAAGGGAAGGACCCTGCACCTCCTTTGATCATTGTCCATTTGAATGGACTGATAAGGCCACCTTAACTCCACTCTAGCTCGTCTTTAGCCCTGGCCTACTCATAAACTACAGTTTTTTTTTTTTGCATGCCAAAAAAGTCTAGCGCAAAGCTTAGAAAACTAAGCCCGAGTTTCATCTTCTACTTAGAGATGTTGTAGATTCAACAGTTTAAAAGCATAGATCGAATTTCTTTCTGCGAGCTTAATTTGACGTTTCAACTGTTCATATATATTGACATATTTCTTTCTTGACTTGGACAATATCTGGGTTATATTTCACATTTATTCATTTACCTTTTTCTCTATTCTTTCATTGACATCGATGGGGACTGTGATGGCCGCTTAATAAGGGATTGCCCCGCTGCAAATTTTCTCTATACACAATCAAAATCTCACTTTTTTCTTTCGGCTCTAAAGAAAAAGATTATAGAAAGGTGATGAACCTCATGTCTATCCGTTAGGAAGCCGATATAGGAAGGGTATCTAGAGTTAGACACACACATAAGTCAAATTAGAAGTGTAGTCTAGCTCGCCTTTGCCATCATCATAAGTAAAAATATTCTAATCTAGGCCTTGGGCGGTGAAGTTTAAAATGATCACCAAGTAATTAAGCCACAATTAGCTCCGGAGATAAACTTGAATTTCATCACATATATACTTACCACCAATGGAACATGGTAACTTGCCATTCGTTGATTTAACTACATAGATGTATTTTAGAGAAAATAAAGAGAATAACGGGCTAGTGGCAACTACTGTGAAAAGCAATGGGTTTTTCACTAGTGAATCATTCACAGAAATCTCGTGCATGTTAAAATATTTCTTGACGTGTCTTTGAAATGGTCTTGAAGGCCTCACTTAGACTTTGATTATGCAAGGCATGCAACGTGCGAAAATTTAGACAAAAAGGATACCAAAATGGTCAACAGTTGTGATGAAAAATTAATGAGAGTAATTAAGGAGCTTTAATTAAGACGCATGCAAGGGTTCATTTTTCAGAGAAACAAATTAGTGAAAATCAAATTGATCCAAAATTCAAGACAATCCAATTGACATTATCATGGAAATTCAATTATAGTACATATATAAATTAACCTTGTTGCATAAACCTCAACCCTTTAGTAATAATAATATGTAGGTGGTATAGGTTGACCTTCATAGCTTTGAACTCAAGTAACAATAATCGATCCCCAAGGAAAAAAATGAATACCCACCTCCTAAATTCGTAACTATTGAATTCTTTTTCTTACAGCCATTTTCAACTTTCGTACACGTGCTTCACACAAATGCTGGATGGATGTGTGCTTCCCCAATCACGGATTCGTTTGACATTAGACAAACGTTTCTCAGCAATCCTCCTCCCTACCTGGCTTACTTCTCAAAATCTCTTTACTATTATTTATATATAAACACCCTTCCCTTATGTCTCCTTCATATCATGGCCACAACTGCCACGAAAATTAAAAAGAAAGGGGAAACCATAGACCTTGTCTTGATTAAACAACGCAAAATAGGCCGACTTGAATATTTAATTTAATCAAAATACTAAATACTATTGTATATATTTAATTTTATATTAGCGTAGTCAAATATTGATGCGGGCATATAATTATTTGTAAAGCACATTTTTCTTTCACCTAGGAGTATGTCATAAAGGAGGCACGTGTTCAGTTTAGATTATAATGGAAGAAAACAGCCGGGTTAATGTGAGTTTTCAGTTTGTAAAATTTTGGCCACATGGAACTTTGCAGTCTGTCTCCTTTTTATTGCTGAGTTGCATTTTCTAATGTTTTATTTTCCTGATCCCTGATTCATTCTGTCTTGGTTCATGTGTAATAAATTAAACTATGTTGCATTTCTGTGGAAAATGTTGGCAAATTAATTTATTAAACTATAGAAAAACAACAGAAAAGCCAAATTAATTCACCAAAATATATGCTGTTAGAATCTTTTCTTTTCCTCTTGGGTCAAACTTAACTATAAAATTTGTCCATATATACTAATCGTCTCCGAGTCACTGTTTAAATACATATAGTCCTTTTCACATCAAACAGAGACAAAGTCAATATATTTTGGCAGCAACTGTGTGAGCAATGAAGCCATAAAGAAGAGTTTTATCATGGCTAGACTAAGCTCTCTCTTCTTCATTCTCTTCCTTCATATAGCACTCACCGCAACACGTTGCAGAGGGAAATCCCAGCTGCCAGAGAAGCATGCCAGGGCTGCGGTGCCCATCTTCCTCTTTGGTGATTCATTTCTGGATGTTGGCAACAACAACTATATCAACACCTCAACTCTCGACCAAGCAAATTTCTGGCCTTATGGAGAAACTTACTTCAAGTTCCCTACCGGAAGGTTTTCTGATGGGCGTTTGGTATCAGACTTTATCGGTGAGATTTGCAAAATCTTCTCTTGTGGCTTTTACTGTTTGTACAAAGTTCAAATTTGGTTAACCAACATATATTCTGTCTGCCTAACATCTTCTTCTTGTCTGATCTCTGTATACATTTTTTATTTGTTCTTTTTCTATTGTAGCCAAACATGCAAACTTGCCATGGATCCCGCCATTTCTGCAACCGGGGTTTCGACAATATTGCCTTGGGGTAAATTTTGCATCTGCTGGAGCAGGTGCTCTAGCTGAGACGTTTCAAGGATTCGTATGTATTATCTTCTTCCTTCCCATTTCTTCATTCTTTATATACATTCCGGAATATTTATACATTAACTGGAATGAAATTGTCTATAGCATTCTCACATTTAGGAATGTTTTTCTTCTGTTAAACACCTTCTTAATTGTGGTTTTTCTTTGCCTGCTCTGTACATATGCAGTTTGCACATATTTATCCAATGCTTGACTCAAAATGCTATTAAGTCACAAGAACAAATATTCATTTCATTATCTTCAACAACTTGGCATAGAAGGATAAAAAGAAACAGAGAGAAAAATTTTAAAAAGGGGGAAGGAGTAGGAGAAAAGACTTTTATGGTGTGAATGTTTAGAAACAGGAGATAGTCCTGACGGTCCAGACCAAAACCTTGTGGTCAGAGTGAAATTTTGAGACAAATGTTACTTTAATTTGGCTGGATGCACCTAATGTTTTGGGGCCACTAATGTATCCATTGATATGTCAAACATCAAGTGAGGCCCAAATGAACTTATTGGTATCCTGTCCCATCTTCACCAAAACATCAAAAGAAATTTGCACATGAAACCTAAGGTCAACATGGATATACATAAAAAGAGACCAGAGAGAACGAATGATGTGTCAAACGTACAACCACGATTTTGTGGAGATTTTGATAGCAGGGTTGAATTCTAGCTCCACTTTTTTGTAATGGTTACTGATCAATTAATTTTCCCTTTTCAGGTGATCGATCTCAAAACACAGCTAAGCTACTATAACAAGGTAGAGAGTTGGTTGAGGCAGGAATTAGGAAATGATGAAGCGAGGATGACCATATCAAGAGCTGTCTACTTGTTTAGCATCGGGAGCAATGATTACATGAGCCCTTTCTTGACCAATTCCACGATCTTAAACAACTACTCTGACTCCACATATGTTGGGATGGTAATCGGAAACCTTACAACAACCATTAAAGTAAGTAATTCTTCTTGTCTCAATTATTAAAAATGGAAGGGTAGATATTGCCCAAATTCGAAGCTTAAAGTTCTTTAGCTTTTTAGGGTATGAATCAGCCTGTTTTGTCTTTGTGGGACAAAATGTGGTAAAAGTTTGTGTCTTAATTAAATGCTATATATGTTTTGGTGTTAATTTTGGCAGGAAATATACGCAAGAGGCGGTCGAAAATTTGCCTTCATCAACTTGCCGGATTTGGGCTGCGTTCCGGGAATGAGGATAATCAAGTCTGAAAACAATGGCAGCTGCTTGGAGGAAGTAACATCACTTGCAAACTTACACAACAAATCCCTTTCCAAGCTCCTCTTTGAGTTAGAAAAACGATTGAAGGGGTTCAAGTATTCACTTTTTGACTTCAACAGCAATCTGAGACAAAGAATGCATCATCCCTCCAAATATGGTACGTACAAATTAAACAACATGCAAAATCACAAAGCATAACTCAAAACTAGCTTTTGTCCTAGTGCACTTGATCCTAGGGAACTTTGTTCTACATATATGATTAATTTGTCTTTTTGGCCCTGTTTGCAGGTACTTATAGGCACTCCTTAGAATTAGTTAAAATTTTATTTTAAAAAATGCTTTTTATTTAATGCATTATTCTCACAAAGTTTAAGAAGAGATAATATACTTTTTGAATATATATATTTATAAAAATTCCCTTCATAAAGATGTTTATAGACACTTTTCGACCCTTTTTTTTTTAATTTTTAAGTTTGAAATAATCATACACATTTAATAAAAGCATTGAACATTCTGTCAAAAAAACAAACAAAAAAAAAACATCGATTATTGGTTGAACACCTCAAAAAAGA